ACATCTCAGTGTGACTTAACAGTAACAACCAACCCATTAGCCTGGCATCACAATAGTTCTCCTCCTAATTCTCCCCCTCTTTCAGCATTGTCTGTGCTAGCTGCAACATGTTTGGCATTGAGGTGGTAGCGGAAGCTGGAAGTTTTCCGGTGATAGGCAAATTCTTTCTTGCAAAATTTGCACACAACTGTGCTTTTATCCAGGTTTCCACCCTGTAGTTTAACAAAAATCTCCGCCCACCGAACCCAGCAACGACTTCTCATCGGTTTCCATTTCTTGTGTTGTGTCCTGTGCATCAGTATTATGGGTTTGCCAGGAACTCATGCAACAACAATGTTCCGTGCTGTTTGGAGTGCAAAAATAAATTGTGATTAAATGCGTTATTTTTTTGTTGCGTTAATTTTTCTGTAATTAATTTATCGTAATTAACACGATAAAGTCCCAGCCCTAATTAAAATAAATAAATCCAAGCATATTATGTAAAGAAGTCCCACTTATAATCTCTGTCGACATCAGTGTGGGAAGTTTCAGTGAGATCTGTAGATGATGATTTCAAATCACTACGAAGAACATTAGACTCTATTGCACCTATAAAAAATTATTAAAACATAGGAGACTAGCACCGTGGTACAATCACCAAACCCGCCAGTTAAAGCAAATAGCTAGGAAATCCGAAAGGAAATGGCGCTCTTCCAAATTATCAGAATATCGCTCAATTTGGCAAGATAATCTTAAAACTTATAGAAAGGCCCTCCATAATGCCAGAAGAGCCTATTACTCAGCACTAATAGAAGAAAATAAGAATAACCCTAGGTTCCTCTTCAGCACTGTAGCCAGGCTGACGGAGAGTCACAGCTCTATTGAGCCACATATCCCCATAAACTTAAGTAGCAACGACTTCATGAGCTTCTTCTATAATAAAATTATTACTATTAGAGAGAAAATTAATCACCAACTGCCATCAACAGTTATCAGTGGCTCTCCAAGTTCAGGGACTTTTGCTAATGTAAACTTAGATATATATTTAGATTGTTTTTCTGCTATCGATCTTCATCAGTTAACTTCAATCATTTCTTCATCAAAGCCATCAACCTGTCTATTAGACCTGATCCCAACTAGGCTGCTTAAAGAATTTGTTCCCTTAATTGGCACTTCTTTACTGGATATGATTAATCTTTCTTTATTATCAGGATATGTACCGCAGTCCTTTAAAGTAGCTGTAATTAAACCCCTTCTTAAAAAGCCCACTCTTGACCCAGGGGTTTTAGCTAACTATAGACCAATCTCTAACCTCCCCTTCCTCTCTAATATTCTGGAGAAGGTAGTCGCCAAAGAGTTGTGTGACTTTCTACATAACAATAGTTTATTTGAGGATTTTCAGTCAGGATTTAGAGTTCATCATAGCACAGAGACAGCTCTGGTTAAAGTTAATAATGACCTTCTGATTGCTTCTGACAATGGACTTGTCTCTGTACTTGTATTATTAGATCTTAGTGCTGCATTTGACACCATTGACCATAATATTCTTTTACAGAGACTGTAGATCAAATTGGCATTAAAGGAACCGCACTAAGCTGGTTTAAGTCATATTTATCAGATTGTTCGCAGTTTGTACATGTTAACGATGAATCTTCAATAAATACTACAGTTAGTCATGGAGTTCCACAAGGTTCTGTACTTGGACCAATACTATTTACTATATATATGCTCCCTTTAGGCAACATTATTAGGAATCACTCCATTAACTTTCACTGTTATGCAGATGATATGCAGTTATATCTATCGATCAAGCCCGATGAAATTAATCAATTATCTAAATTACAAACATGTCTTAAGGACATAAAATCCTGGATGAGCTGCAATTTTCTGATGTTAAACTCAGAAAAAAACGAAATTCTTGTTCTTGGCCCCAAAAACCTTAGAGACTCACTGTCTAAAGATATAGTTACTCTAGATGGCATTACCTTGGCCCCTAGCACCACTGTCAGGAATCTTGGAGTTATCTTTGATCAGGATTTGTCATTTAACTCCCACATGAAGCAAACCTCTAGGACTGTCTTATTTTATTTATGTAATATTACAAAAATTAGACACATCCTATCACAGACAGATGCAGAAAAACTAATCCATGCATTTGTTACTTAGAGGCTGGATTACTGCAACTCTTTATTATCAGGTTGCCCCAATAAGTCCAATAAAACGCTCCAATTAATTCAGAACGCTGCAGCACAAGTACTGACAGGAACTAGAAAAAGAGATCACATCTCTCCTGTACTAGCTTCTCTGCATTGGCTCCCTGTAAAATGTAGAATAGAATTTAAAATCCTCCTCCTCACCTATAAAGCTCTTCATGGTCAGGCCCCTTCATATCTTAAAGAGTTCATAGTACCCTATTACCCCCTAGAACACTATGTTCTCTGAATGCTGGGCTACTTGTGGTCCCTATAGTCTGTAAAAGTAGAACAGGAGCCAGAGCCTTCAGTTACCAAGCTCCTCTCCTGTGGAACCAGCTTCCAGTTGTGGTTCGGGAGGCAGACACCCTCACCACATTCAAGAGTAGGCTTAAGACATTCCTCTTATAGTTAGGGCTGGATCAGGTGAGTCCTGAACCATCCCTTGGTTATACTGCTATAGGCCTAGACTATCGGGGGATTTCCCATGGTGCACTGAGCTCCTCCCTTCCTCTCTCTTTCTGCATTTATTCATGTTCCATTAATGCATGTTACTAACTTCTTCCCCGGAGTTCTTGTGCTTTCTCGTCTCGCAGGTTCTTATCGATCCTGGTGGAGCCTCCTGCCATGGTCCTGCTAGATTGCCATTGCCAATACTGTTGTTGCTGTGCACCTGTCTCTCTCTCTCTCTCTCTCTCTCTCTCACCCCAACTGGTCGAGGCAGATGACCACCCACCTAGAGCCGAAGGATCTGTCCTAGGTTTCTGCCTTTTAACAGGCAGTTTTTCCTTGCCCTTGTCGCCAAGTGCTTGCTCATGGTGGTACTGTTGGGTCTCTGTAATTAATGTTTTAAAGAGTTCGGTCTAGACCTACTCTATTTTAAAAGTGTCCTGAGATAACTTCTGTTATGAATTGGCGCTATACAAATAAAATTGAATTGAATTGAATTGAAATACAGATAAAATTTCTGCTTTCTCTAGAGATAATGAAGTCAATAGTCTTTAGATCTGCCATTCAAACGTACTTTAACGCATTTAGATTGACTTTTAAAACACATATAGACTTGTTGTTTGTATAGGAACAGGTCCTGTTATCTTATTGTTTGAAAAGGACTGTGGAAGTTTCTCTCTGTACTGGACTATGGTGATGTTATTATAGACACACTACTGTCTCTCCTCTTCAATGGTCACCAAGTTCATTTCAAACTAACTTGGGTTTTGGTATCCTGCCAAAGGACACAGGAGGAGCTGGGGATTGAACTGCCAAACTTCTGATAAGTGGATGACCCGCTTTACCTCCTGAGGCACAGCCACCCTTAAGCATCCAGATGCTGTCTATCACTCAGCTCTTAGATTCATTATCCATCAGAACACGAGGGAGGAGAAATATCCCCTGGTGTGGGTGCCAGTGCTTCTCTCCACCCAGTCCAAGAGAGAAAAAGACCATAATAAAGATAACTTCTCTATCTGAATTTTGCAATCACAGAAGAGTACAAGCATAGGGCCATCTTCAAGGATATTAAATAGGAGGATGTCCCTGAGAGGACCTGGTGGGTGGCATAGCACACCAACCTTTCTCTGGACGCTGCGAGTCACTGTTCAGAGTCCAAACAGCCCACGCTGTGCTCTGCTGTGTATGAGGTAGACTTCCTGGAAGACAAACGGTTAAATTTTAACCAACCTCCAAATATCTCTAAAGATTCTTGTATAAAACTGGTTGAAGATAAAGGCACTCCTGAAGTGGTGATCGATTATTATTAGTTATTATTATTAATGGAAACATTGGAGTCTGGTGTCCTTCCCTAATTTGCCAAGGACTTAATTGGTAACAATCATGATGATTGACAGGATAAGAATCTACTGACACTATAAAGGACCAAGTGAAGTACTACTACTACAACAAATATTGGCTTTATAAAGGACACACAAAAAGGGCTATAGCGATATAATAACCGAAATACAAAAATACATTAAGAAAAATACAATAAATATACATTTATAATATAATTATTAGTTTATAACATAAAGACAGGAATCAGATAACCAAAGACACGTAAAATGGAGTACCAGTGGATCCTCAGTCTGGATGAAAACCGAGCTTGACTCAGGTTGGTCTGGGAGGTAAATAGTCAGGTGGGAGGTAAATAGTAAATGGACTGTACTTGTATTGCGCCTTTCTAGTCTGCCAACCACTCAAAGCGCTTTTACACTACATGCCACATTCACCATCTCACACATATTTACACAGTGATGGCAAAGCCCATCAAACAGAAACTAATGCATTCATACACATTCACAGCATCGGGAGCAACAAGGGGTTCAGTATCTGGCTTTTAATGTTTAGCTTAGTCTGATGTGTTTTTTGTGTTTTACTATTTGATGTTGTTTTGCTGCTTTTATGTTTTTATGTAAAGTGTCTTTGAGTATAACAAAAGCGCTTATGAATAAAAATGTAATATTATATTATCAAGGATACTTCGACACCTCCTGCTGCATGTCGCAGTGTCCTTGATACTGAAATTGAATATATACAGAAATTGAATATTACTTTCTGTTTGCGATGAATGTGACTGTAGTGTAAAAGTGTTTTGAGTGGTTGGTAGACTAAAAAGGAAGTATATAAGTACAGTCCATTTCTCATTTACCAATGAGTCTTGGTGATGAAATTTGGTGGAATTTGTGACATACACATAAAAGGCCACTATGTTAATCTTTAGACATCATCAGAATAGACCAAGACCTGATCTACTCTCTGAACTTAGACCAGAACCTTGAACCAACCTGATTGAATCCAGCCTTTAATCCACAATCTTCTTCTTCTGTGGTTCAGGTTGACATGTTCTGGCTCAGGATGACTTCCTGTCTGTTGTTGCTCCTGTTCTTCTTCCATTTTGTTCCTGCCATCATGGCCACCACCCAACCCGCTGGCTGCAAAATCCGCATCACAGATAGAGGACTGGAGATGTGTAAGTACATGGTTGTGACTGAGACCAGACTGAATGAGTTACACTGGACTGACAGTATGTGGTTGTCACTGAAGTAGTATTGGTAGTATTTGTAGTATTTAAAGTACTAACAGTGTGTGTTTTGTGTTTTCAGTGAAGGCTGAGACTCTGAAGTTTGTGGAGGAGGAGCTCAGTAACATCAGTATGCCGGAGATGAAAGGCAAAGAAGGACGCTTCCAATACACCATCACTGAGTACTAATACTACATCATATTATGTAGTTCTATAGTAGTGCTAGATAAATATGCAGTACTGATACGTGATAGAGATGATGCAATAAATTTCAGTGGGGATTACTCTGTTTCTATCTACAGGGACTAAAGATGGAAATAAATCATCTGTCATCTCATTTTGTTTTTTTGCATGTTCCTGTTTTAATAAAGACTAACAATCATATTTAAAGAAATATTGAATACTTAAAATATCTATTAATACTTTCTCTCTCTCTCTCATAAGTGTGAAGATAACCGAGTTGAATCTGACTCACGCCAACCTTCAGTTCATCCCTGAAGTCGGGTTGTTGTTCGATGTTCAGAACTCATCGATCACGTTGACTTTCCACCGGCGGATCCTCTACTGGTTCTTGTTAGTTCTGATATTATTATTATTAGTAGTATTATCAATCTGTCTGTCTGTCTGTCTGTCTGTCTGTCTGTCTCTCTCTCTCTCTCTCTCTCTCTCTCTCACACACATCCAAACTGGTTGAGGCAGATGACCACCCACCTAGAGTTGGGGTCTGTCCGAGGTTTCTGCCTCTTAAAAGGAATTTTTTCCTTGGCGCCATCGCCAAGTGCTTGCTCATGGTGGGAACTGTTGGGTCTCTGTAAATAATGTTATAAGGAGTTCAGTCTAGACCTGCTCTATTTGAAAAGTGTCCTGAGATAACTTCTGTTATGATTTGGTGCTATACAAATAAAATTGAATTAAATTGAATATTATTATTAGTAGTAATATTATTAATATTATAAACTCTAATAGTTATTCTACAGAAGATAAATAAAAAATAATTTGACCCATCATAGTAATGATGATAATATCTCTCAGTTATGACACAGGAAACATCAACGCCTCGGCCGAAGGTGTGAACATCAACACGGTTCTGAACTTGATCAGAGACGATGGAGGACGGCTTAAGATCAATAACATTACCTGCGATGCCAGAATCGCCAAAATGAAGGCAAAGTTCAGTGGAACACTTGGGTATGTAATCAGTAATGAGTAATGATTACTGTTAATAAAATTGATTTGGAAATCAATAATCAAATAATAATAACTATTTTTCAGGAGAGTTTACGACTTCCTGGCGAGCTTTCTAACAACAGGCATGCGCTTCCTCCTCAACCAACAGGTCTGTCTGTCTGTCTGTCTCTCACCTGTCTGTCTCTCTGGCCTGTCTAGGGTTAGAGCTAACAGAGATGACTCTTTCTTGTTAAGGTCATTATTTATATGTATATTATCTATATGGTAAGGTCATTATTTGTATGTATATTATCTATACATTAAGGTTAATTATTGGATAAGGCTGTTTTTTAGATCTTACGAAGATTTTTACTATAAATAACTATAATAATAAATATATAATAACTGTCCTCAGTTATTTGTCTTCAGTTTCACAGATGTCTTTAGGTGGACAAAGTTTTACATCTCTGACTGACCTCAAGCTGTCAATCACCATCAGTCCACTGACTAAAACTAAGCTAAACATTAAAAGCAATTTTAAAAAGGTGAGTTTTTGTCAATGATTTGAACACTGGAAGGTCGGTGCAGTCACGGATTTGTTTGGGGAGAGCGTTCCAGAGGGAGGGGGCAGCAACAGGGAAGGCTCTGCCGCCCCAGGTTCGGTGCTTGGTCCTGGGTGGTGGAGTCAGGAGGTTTGCATCATATGAGCAGAGACTACGGGATGGGTTGTGGTGGTGGAGCAGGTCAGTGTGGTAGGAAGGGGCCTGCTTATGGAGGGCTTTGTCTGTGAGGAGGAAGATTTTGAATTCAATTCAATTCAATTCAATTTTACTTGTATAGCACCAATTCATAACGGAAATTATCTTAGGACACTTTTCAAATAGAGTAGGTCTAGACCGAACTCTTTAAAACATTATTTACAGAGACCCAACAGTACCACAATGAGCAAGCACTTGGCGACAAGGGCAAGGAAAAACTGCCTGTTAAAAGGCAGAAACCTAGGACAGATCCTTCGGCTCTAGGTGGGTGGTCGTCTGCCTCGTCCAGTTGGGGTGAGAGAGAGAGAGAGAGAGAGAGAGACAGGTGCACAGCAACAACAGTATTGGCAATGGCAATCTAGCAGGACCATGGCTGGAGGCTCCACCAGGATCGATAAGAACCTGCGAGACGAGAAAGCACAAGAACTCCGGGGAAGAAGTGAAGTTAGTAACATGCATTAATGGAACATGAATGAATGCAGAAAGAGAGAGGAAGGGAGGAGCTCAGTGCACCATGGGAAATCCCCCAATAGTCTAGGCCTATAGCAGCATAACTAAGGGATGGTTCAGGACTCACCTGATCCAGCCCTAACTATAAGCTTTATCAAAGAGGAATGTCTTAAGCCTACTCTTAAATGTGATGAGGGTGTCTGCCTCCCGAACCACAACTGGAAGCTGGTTCCACAGGAGAGGAGCTTGGTAACTGAAGGCTCTGGCTCCTGTTCTGTCGACAGTTCTGTCTCGTGCTGCAGCGTTCTGAATTAATTGAAGCGTTTTAATGGACTTATTGGGGCAACCTGATAATAAAGAGTTGCAGTAATCCAGCCTTGAAGTAACAAATGCATGGATTAGTTTTTCTGCATCTGTCTGTGATAGGATGTGTCTAATTTTTGTAATATTACGTAAATGAAAGAAGGCAGTCCTAGAGGTTTGCTTCATGTGGGAGTTAAAAGACAAATCCTGATAAAAGATAACTCCAAGATTCCTGACAGTGGTGCTAGGGGCAAAGGTAATGCCATCTAGAGTAACTATATCTTTAGACAGTGAGTCTCTAAGATTTTTGGGGCCAAGTACAAGATTTAACATCAGAAAATTGCAGCTCATCCAGGATTTTATGTCCTTAAGACATGTTTGTAATTTAGATAATTGATTAATTTCATCGGGCTTGATCGATAGATATAACTGCGTATCATCTGCATAACAGTGAAAGTTAATGGAGTGATTCCTAATAATGTTGCCTAAAGGGAGCATATATATAGTAAATAGTATTGGTCCAAGTAAAGAACCTTGTGGAACTCCATGACTAACTGTAGTATTTATTGAAGATTCATCGTTAACGTACAAACTGCGAACGATCTGATAAATATGACTTAAACCAACTTAGTGCGGTTCCTTTAATGCCAATTTGATGCTCAAGTCTCTGTAAAAGAATGTTATGGTCAATGGTGTCAAATGCTAAAAAACATGTAAATATATGTTTCCTCTCTTTACTATGAATGGGATACTGTACCAATCCACATCAGAGAACTGACCACTTACAGGTCCTCCTTTAAACTGTGAAGGTTTAAAGGCCAGTTTCCTGCCTTATTGCTACTTTTGTCCTGTTGCTCTTATTTGCCTTAAATAAATAAATAAACTAAATTAAACTAAACTGTCTGTCTGTTTCATCTGTCTGTCTCCCAGATCTGTCCTGCTCTCAATCATGCGGCTCTGGTTCATGTGAACTCAATGCTGGACACGATCCCTGTGAGGACGGAAGTCGATCAATATATCGGGATTGATTATTCTTTGATTGATGACCCAGTGGTGACATCCAGGAGCCTCGACATGCACTTCAGGGTCAGTATCAAGGTGATATTTTTATGATCCTGATCAAAGCGATCAATAACAGTGTGTTTTCTGTCTGTAGGGGATGTTCTTCGACCTTTCTGATCAGAACAACACGTTGGTGAACTATGCTGTCGACCCTGTCATCAGAGAGTACGACAGGATGGTTTACCTCGCCCTGTCCGAATTTTTCTTCGACAGCGGGTTGTTCTCTTACTACAGTGCGGGAATCTTCCAGATGCACATCGTCAACGAGAAGGTCAAAACTACCACAGACCCCCTATACCCCTGAAACTACCGAACCATACAAAGATTCCTCCTGAAAGCTGAAACCTGGTTCTGTTTGTGTCTCTTCCTTCAGATGCCCAAAGACATGGAGATGTTGTTGAGAACCACCTACTTTGGAACCATCATGATGCTGGTTAGCAGATCCAGAAACACACACATGATTAATGTTCTTCTTGTGTTTTCTGAATAGAACCCGCTGTAGTACTTTAGTATTGTGTATTAATACTGTGTTCTGGGTAGAACCCGGCTCTGGTGGATGCGCCACTCTCTCTGCAACTTGCTGTCAACTCTCCTCCAAAAACCTCCATCAAGACATCTGGCGCGACGGTTGTCATGACAGCCATTGTCAAGGTGATGGTGCTGCCTCCAGGTCAGCCTCCGGTCCAGCTTAGCAGCATGACCATGGTACACACACACACACACACACACACACACACACACATACAATATAAATCACATGCTCAGCTCTGATTTGCTGTCGGTCAACAGATGATGCTCTCCAGGTGAGAGATCAAAATGATTGTTTCTATTAAGTATTCTTCTGTCTGTGTGCAGGAAACAAAGTTTAACGCTAAAGTTTCTATGAAGGGCAAACGTCTGGCTGTTCATGCTGACCTCCGCAGGTACACACACACACACACACACACACACACACACACATATAAACTCTATCTTCTATCACTATAACCCCATCCCCAACCACAACCCTGAGTGGCCCTCTATCCTCCAGTCTGTGTGTTCAAACCCGTGCTTTGTGTTTGTTTGTGGTGGTTTTTGTTCTGTGGTGGTTTCAATTAAAGCCACTTTCTGTCACTATGAGTGGAAGATGCTTTCTCTATCCTCTGCGATTGACTCTGATGATCCAGTCCTCTCAGCCTCCTGGATGGAGAATGCAAATGAATGATTATTTATTTAGCTTGATCACAGTCACACTGAAACTGTTTTCTTCTTTCAGGTTTAAAATTTTCTCCAATCAATCAGCACTGGAATCTCTGGCAGTAAGTGTCTTTTTGTGGCTTTTTTGTTACTTAACCCTTTAGGCGCCGGGTTTTATTTTGAAAAATACTAGATTTTGACATCTAAATTTCAGGAGGCTCTGGCTTGAAAGTGGTTTGAGATAGAGAAAAAGTGTAAATGAGACAAATATTGAGAATGACCTAAAGTTTATCTAGGTAGTCAATTTTCCTATCTAATTTGCATATTATGACGTCATATGGCGACGGACATATTGGATTATATAATTTCCATGAAATACCTGATATTTTGAAATAGAGTTGAACTTATTTTATCAGATTCACCCCCTCCATCTATTTGTTATGTTGTCCACATATCAAATGAACAGGGAAAAGTAAATTGTAAGCCAAACTAGAGCTATTACTACACCACAAAACTCATGTAAACAGTAGGCATTTTTTATGATTTTTTACCCACCACCACCCTCCCTATTGGAGGACACTTTTTCTTTTCTTTTTTATTCTCTTCTTCATTATTATTATTATTATTATTATTATTATTATTATTATTATTATATGATAATAATAATAACAGTAGGCGTCTTTTAGCTGCAGAGGCCTAATCTGTGCCCATCTATCCAGATAAAAGTTTGTAGTATTTGTAGAGTGTGGAACCTCTCATTGCAAGGCACAGTACAGAGACAATATGAACAATATTGAGACCCCACCACATAGCCTAACAAATGGACAGGTACACATCCGCATCCGATGCACTGTGACCGGCGCTGTAGAAAGAGTGAACACTAACGCTGGTCCCAGCGCTATTCTCACCACCCCCGCTACTTCTACCACATCCATTAGCTCCCTAACTGATACTACGACTTCGTGTAGTACTCCCACCTATGTTGGGCAAAGGGTCGTGTGTTTGTGCTTGTGTGTTTTCCTCACTCTGCCCGGCAGCGCCGGTGCAAAGACGCACTGTGACTATCACGCTCACTTAACGACCGGCCGTCATCTCCCAAAGGTAGATTTTCCCTTTCAGAATCAGAGTCAACGAATAGGAGACCCATCACTTCCCTAAGCGTCAACTTTTTGCTTGCCATTTTCGTTTATTTCGTCTCAATAACTCCTAAATTCAGCAATACCGCTTCAGCATAAATAGCGCCATGGCACACTATTTCCGGTGTTTGGACGGGACTTCCTCGAACATTTTGCATTGAAACATGATGTTTTTCTGAGCTAAGGTCTAAGTACAGGATGTCTGCCAACTAGTGGAGGGGAGTATGAATGAGGTATAACGCTCTCTTAGGAGAAAACAGCTGTTTGATTCAGTACCACGTCCTGTCACAATTTTGCGACTTTGGCGCTTAAAGGGTTAATCTTAAACTACAAGTTACAGCACAGTAATAACCTGTCTGTCTGTCTGTCTGTCAGTTGATTCCTCTGCAGGCTCCTCTGAAGACAATGTTGCAGATGTCTGTGGTTCCTTTAATCAATAGTAAGAATCTGATCAATCAATATACACACAGTTTATTGGCAGAACATTTTTTTTGTCACATTGAGGATGTTTTTTTCCATATTTTGTTGTTTCCATCAGACACGGCTACTGACTGCTGTGACGATGTTTACTGACTACATTTTTGTGTGTGTGTGTGTGTGTGTGTGTGTGTGTGTGTGTGTGTGTGTGTGTTCAGACTGGACAAAGAGAGGAGTTCGGATTCCTCTGGCTGATGGGATAGATTTCATTGAGGAGGTGGTTGAATATCACAATGTAAGTCTGTTTACTCATTAAATATGAACCATGTGTTTATACATGATGCTATGCTTTGATTGGTCATCAGCCCGTGAATTACTTTCACTTAGTGCTCCCCCCTGGTGTTCACAGCCGTTGTGTTGATCTCTGCAGGGATTCATCCTGATTGGAGCAAATCTTCACTTCAGCAAAGGACTCAGAGAAATGATTGCAGGGAACGTCCAGACAGAGCCAGACACTGTCTAAACATATGTATCTATATATATATATATATACAGTGTACACTGTATATACAATGTAAATATACACTGTGTGAACATACTGTATATGACAACATGTGAATATATACAAACATATTAGCATGTTAATGATCAAAGGGTACAGGCACAATCTAAATATATATATAACTGCATTCTGTATATATAGATGTTTGCATGGAAGACAGATATATATATACTGTAAAACCTCTAATAATACGGCCTTTATTGGGGACCAGCATCTATTTGGGACAGAGCTTTAAATTCTTCAGCACAAACTTGGCACAGATGGAAATTGTAACTGCTGCTTCTCCTCAGTTTTGTTCAGTAAATTTGACGACTAACAGGTAACTTGCGGTAAATTTCAGGTCCTACTTTTTTCTTTGTGCCACCATGACACTGAACATGAAAGTTGTTTTACGGCAGCTGAAGATTTACGGCAGACGGCGTACAGACAGCGAGCAACAGACTTCACATGATAATATTCACAGCTCAGATTAATTCTAATGAAACACTTTGTTCTGATGGGTGGACCCTGACGTACTAAAACATTAAACTTTAATGTTCATAGTTTAAAATGAAGGCTCTAGGTGAGTGGTCGTCTGCCTCAACCAGTTGGGGTGAGAGAGAGAGAGAGAGAGAGAGAGAGAGAGAGAGACACAGACAGACAGACAGACAGACAGACAGACACAGCAACAACAGTAGCAACAACTACACTAATAGTAGTGACTGATGATGATTAACATGAAGAAGATGATGGCGATGTCAACAACGATCCATCCATACTGTCAAGACGTTAAATATTTATATTTATGTAAAGATCTAAAACTCGCTCAAGTGGGTGACCCAGTGGGTTTAAGAGGTTTTATACATCCACAAAATTTCTAGAAAATCAAGACCAGGCCTCTCTTGGAGACCTGCGTTAATTTGTCAAAACGTGGAGCCACAGCAGGCTTTTAAAGGAAACCTGTGTCTATTTGGGACCCTGCTTTTATTGGAAGTTTTACGGTGACTGCATGTGTTTATATGACACAGTCTACATTGATATTGAACTATACACTAACAATATGTTTATCAATATATTTAAATATAGACAGATTATATAAACTGACACTGGGTGTTTCTCAAACCCAATAATTCAAAGAAGAGATTTGTGTTCTTGGTGAGAACGTTCAGCACCGAGGATTCATCACTGATTACTCCTCAACTGTATACTAACAATGTAATTTATAATAATAAAGCAGTGACTGTAGACCTTTCATTCTGCTTCTGTTGTTTATGTATTTATCTTAAAAGAACTAACAATAACTTATTAGTAGAACTGTCTAAAGTGTCCAATACTGCTTTTATATTGTCACTCCATAACTACAATGATAGCTGTCACCAGTTCTATTCCTTCTGTCACTAACACTGATACTGCACTATACTTCATATCAATTCACCAGATTTTTCTTTTCTTAGTATCTGTTTCTGTTTCTAAGAGGCTGGTGACTCTACACAACCAAACCACCATTTTGTCAGAGTGTTTAAGGTCTTAGAACAGTATGACTTGACATGAAGGTCATTCCCATGCTCTATTATGTCTCTTAAGTTGTTGCAGCAGTTTGTGGGTTGATATCAGGGTTTGTGTTATAATCTGAGCTTTGTTGCAGTCTCTAAAATAATTAATGTTAGGGGCGGAGATAAATAATAGCATAATGGGTGCGTTTTCCATGGGAGAGATTAAGTGGTCCAACACTTTCACAGTCTCTAGTTTGTGGTTGTACAGTTTCAGTTTTAGTTTCATGAGCCTGTGATCATCCTCGAGCAGCAGTTCCCAACCTTTTTCCTTAAGGGACTTCTGTTCTACAATTTAATAAACTGATCACCCCTGATTAAGAGACATATTTTGTGGATATTCCACATTACATTCTAAACTGTACAATGAACCTAAACAGGGAAATCAGCAGGAAGAAATTTCAGATTATTTCCTGTTTAGGGAACTTTGTATATAATTATCTGTCTATATTATATATATATATATATATATATATATATATATATATTTATATAGTTATTTTTGGGGGCTTTTCAACAGGAAAGGGGGGTAAAGAAAGGGGGGATGACATGCAGCAAAGGGCCACAGGTCAGGTTCGAACCCAGACCGCTGCAGCAAATCTGTATATGGGTTGCCAGCTCTACCGACTGAGCTAACCGGGCACCCATGTGTTATCATTATAACTTATAATAATTATAATTATGATATAACTATCATACAGACTTATTAAGTTTCCCTTTTTTTTGACAAATTTGGTGTTTTGTTGTGGCAGTTGGCCATTGTTCTATTAGACAGTTTACATTTACTTTTATTTATTGATTTTATCAAATCAATGTGTATCCATACAGTACCAGTTAATTTAGTCTACAACCCTGCAAAGCAAACTTTATCATCACTTACCCTGCAGCAGTGTCTGTGCAGCAGGTAGAAAACCCGTCTCCGCAATCCCCGTGTTCGTCCGAGATAGTTTGTTTTTGTTGAGAAAAATAAAATACTCAAATTTGACTAAAACTATTTAATATTTCATTGTTTAGAAACAAAACCTTGAACATTATCACTAACCCTAACCCTAACAGTGATTATTGATTCAATGAACAGCATCACGTTTCATTTCAGCCAATTATTGATCAGCATGACAGATTTTATTATCATCAGGAAAGAAAAACACATTACAAAAAAAATAATCTGGACAAGAAGTGACTTAATTTAAATTCACAGCATCACACAGTTAATTAACACATAACTATCATCTTAGCAGCTTGTTACCAATTCATTACCAATCAATAACCAGTTAATTATGAAACATGGTTACAGTGTGAGATAACCATAGTTCTCTGAATCGTTCACCATTTTTAACTCTTTACTCATCTGGGAACTTTTTGCTGATGCTGTCATAACCATGGAAACCACACTTCCTGCCGGCAACTCTGCAGCCAAAGGTCAGAGCATCCTGCAAACTTCCACCTACAGACAGAAAAAGTATGTATTTATTTATTTCAGTAAAATAAAGAAAGAACAGGGACAGGTTGATAAGAGTCAGCAGAGACTGAAATAAGACTAAATCTGTTCAATTTGACCTGGAAGTAAAGGGTCATCTGTTTTCTTTCAAAATAAAAGCCATGGCCCTTTTTAACTAGACAGATTTGGTGTTCATATGAATTCAAAACAAAAAAACAAAGATGTTCTCTTTTTTTATCTCACTGCGATTACATTATATGTCCTGGTGGTTTAGAGGTCCAATTAGTAGGATTTAGTGCCATCTAGTGGTAAAATTGCAGATTGAAACTAACTGAACACTGCTGGCGTCTGTATTTGACAAGCTGGGAATGAGAATGGGCTGTGGAGTGTGAAGGAAAAACATGGCCGTTCAACATGGCTGACTCAAAAGAAGAAGACCCACTCCCTCTGTACGTACAAAAAGTGTCATTGTAATGTAACAAAAACACACTGATTCTTATTTTTGGCTGATTATACACTAATGACAACATACCTATGAATATAATATTAAAGTGATGTTACACACTGGAGCTTAAAGGCATCAAACATTAACCTTAATGTCCATTATTTTAAACCAGTTTAGATACCACTGACTCTAGAATGAACACATGAAATACCTCCCTCAAAGGAAGCTGGATTTCAAAAACAATGGTTCTGTCATGACTCCTGCCGTGTGATTGTGTGGTTTTATACCTTAGTGTGAGTGGGGTGTGCTTGTCGGGTTTGTCTGTCTGCTTGCTCCTTTCCCTTCCCCCCTCTCACTCTCTATCTCCACTCACCTGCTGGTCACCCACAATCAAGCACACCTGCCTTCAATCAAGACTGCACCTCACCACTATAAGAAGCCTGGCTGACATTCAGTCCCTGCTGAATTGTTGCACCACACAGAGTTTGTTGTGTGCAGCTTTTGGGTGCCAGCCTGCTTGCCAAATTCTTGTAACGGTTAGGGTTAGGATAAGGGTTCTGCCAGCTCTCCACACCAGTTTACCTCTACCACGATCACCCCTGGATCCCAACCCCAGAATTCAGCCAGCTTCCATATCACCCTTCATCTTGCCAAAGAAATAAAGACTTTGTGTTCACTACTTCCAGTCTCAGTCTGCTTTTGGGTTCAGCCTCAGAATCGGGACAGGTTCAGAGTTCAAGCTTATATTTATTGTGCAACAAGGGTTCACATGATGACAGAATACGAAAGGACAATATCAATAGTAAATCGAACACCTATTGCAAGGAAATGGAAATTCATATCAAGTTCAAAATATGCAATAGTTCAAATGTGCATATGTGTAAGGAATGCAGTAGTTTCACAAAATGATCTGGAAAAGTATTGAACCAGATTATAATACAATAAATTATGAACTAACTACTATGAACTAAGTTAGTATAGCCCTGATCCACTAAACTCTATTCAGAAAATAAGTATTTTAAAAGTTGTTTCATCTTGCAGACAGGCCAACAAAGTGAATTCAGACTTTTCAATCGCCATCATGTTGTCGTTATTTCAGCATTGATTTTGATCTGCTTGACATTAAATGATAAACATATATTTATTATGGGCTCATACTGCTGCAGTGAGTCCTTTCCTCTTTTTTTTTTGTGGCCTTTTTATTGCCTTTATTTGATAGGGACAGCCGAAGATAGGCAGGAAAGGGGGGCAGAGAGAGAGGGGATGACATGCAGCAAAGGGCCGCAGGTCAGATTCGAACCCTGGGCCACTGCAGCAAGGACTCAGCCTCAGTACATGGGTCACCAGCTCTACCGTCTGACCTAACCAGGCGCCCCAGTGAGTCCTTTTCAAACATCAATATATCAAATGTATCTTTATGAATAAATGTATGTTTCAAAAGTAGAGCTGTATATTTCACAACTTCATTCGAATTATGTTTGTATTTATATACTGTTTTAGTCGCATAACTGCTAATAAAGTCAAATTAAACTAATGTCTCACCATTGGACAGTGTGTAGATGACAGCAGCGTTGAAAGTGTCTCCGGCTCCGAGAGTATCAACGACAGTTTCAGGAGGAAAAGCGTCTGAATGAATCAGCAAACCGTCAGGACCCAAAGCATCCGCTCCTTTTTCTGCCCAGGCACATATGAGGACAGCCCTGAGAGAAAGACAGGTCAGAGAGAGAGAGACTCTGTAGGATCAAAAACCACAGGCTCGTAACTGAAAATCACATTCAGAGCAAATCCCAAATTTGCTCTTTGCTAAATCATTAAAACAGACCACAAACAAATAAAACAAAAGCCTTTGATTTAAATTGACTTTTATGGCTCAACTGTTGAGTATCTATGAGAACAAATAATATAATTGTGATAACATAGAAATCCAGGTATTAAGTGAAGCTAAAGGGAGGTTGAGGTCTGAGACTGCCCTGCTCTAGAACATACAAAAAACTATTCCTACCTCGGCCTAAACATCAGCCCCACAGAATACTTCACCAAAGCAGTGAACGACCTGATAGATAATCAAGGAAGGGCTCTTTACAGTATCAAAAGGAACATCATTGTCCCAATTCAAATACTAGACTCCATTATAGAACCTATTTCTGTTTGAAGTTGTGAGGTCAGGGGTCCGTCCGCTCGCTAACCAAGATGCACAAAAACCAAAGTGAGACTCTGCATGCCGAATTCTGAAATCTATCCTCTGGATCCAGTTCAAAACTCAAATAAGGCAAAGCAGAATTAGTACAATACCCAGTAATTATACAAATTTAAAAAGGGAGCATGTTCATTTTATAATCACCTAAAAGAAAGTGATCCTGATACAACAGACCCTAAAGAGAAGCCCTGTTAGCCAGCTGGTCCAGGGACTCAAACACAAACATAGCCCCCAGACAGGAACCACATCATAACAAAACCCAAAGAAAACCATTGGACATACTGAACTGAAAGACTAGAGAGAGAAAGAGAGAGACACTCCACTCACCCCTGTTTAACCCGACTGTAGAGTCCTTTCAGAGCCGCTTCAGCAGTAAGGAAACCGAAGTGACGAGCGACATCTTTACTGACAAACACCTGAAAACACAAGATCAAACACACCGAGTTACACACCCCCACCCACACACACACACACACACACACACACACACACGCGCACGCCACACACACACACACACACACACAAAACCTACCACGTCACCGCGAGGAAACAGCTGATACAGTGGCTCTCTGGTCTTCTCTATCTCCACGGAGATAGTGATTCTCTGTTGCTTTGGCAATGTGTTGTTATACATCACCACCTGCTGGATCATCTTCACCTGTTCTTCAGCATTTCGGCCCTGCAGGAGTTAAACAACATGACCATGATAATATTACTATATTCTGTACAAACTGTAAAGTCTCCTAATAAAGTTTGTAAATTAAAATGTTTCACAGGTTCAATTTAGATGGAGGAAGGGTTAGTTAGTCTAGTTTAGTCTGGTTTAGACTGGTTTTGTTGGATTACTCTGCTTGTCTGGGAGTTGCAGTTTATCTGAGCATTGCTCACCTCCCAGTGGATCCAGTTGAACTGATGGAGGTCAACTTTGGAGAAATCCTCTGCTGTGATGTCAGGAAGGTTCCTGATGGACAGGAAGTGAGGTCAGACTTTATAAATCAACACAGGAAGAAAATCCCGAAACACCTCCAGCATTCGTCCGGCACTCAAGATATAGAAGTCTTTCATGTCTATAGATCATTAAAATACAAAATCTGATTATCTGAATCATTTGTTTAAAATCCAACAGTCACCATCAAACAATAAAATGTTGGGTTTTTTTTTTACAGACTCTAAATGGTCTGTACTTATATAGCGCCTTTCTAGTCTTCCTCACCAGTAAGAGCACTTCACACTACATGCCACATTCACCCATTCACACAGCATCGGGAGCAATTTGGGGTACAGTATCTTCCTCAAGGACACTTTGACATGCAGCCAGAGGAGAAGGGAATCAAACTGGCAACCTTCTGATTAGTAGACGACCTGCTCTACCTCTGAGCCACAGCCGCACCCTGTGAGAGTGAAGAGTTCAAATCCAAACCCATCAACAGAAAATGTGTACAGAAGACACTTAGGGAATTAAACATTACTGAACATGTTTCATCTTATTTCAGCATAAATGTGTTTGTATTAAAAATCCAAGAAATTAAATGAATCAATGATGATGATGATTTACCCATAAACCACTGCAGAGACTCAAGCTGACGAGTTTGTGATGAAGCCCAGTAAACAAACTGATACTGCGTCACTCAGTAAAATTTTGGACTTCTTTTAAATCTGATTTCAGAGTCCACTATAGGGAGGCCCATACTATCAGCCAAGCTTAGCATAGAGTTCGCACAGATAAATGAGGTGTCTAAAGGTAAGCCAGAACGGCATCTGATGAACGGATCAATTTCAGAAACACACAAAGCTGTTACAGTCTCTAAACATACTACCTAATACCATACTAACCCTAACCCTATTCCCTTACCACAACCTAATACCATTCTAACCTTAACCTTGTCTGTCTGTCTGTCTGTCTGTGCGTCTCTCTCTCTCTCACCCACCTAGAGCCGGGGTCTATCCGAGGTTTCTGCCTTTTAAAACTATGTTTTTCTTTGGCCATCGTAGCAAGCTGCTACTATACTATAATATAATATACTATAATATAATATAATACAATACAATATACACCCATGTTGTAGACCTCCACCCAATCTGATTGGTGGATTGATTCAGGTTCAGGACCTCGATGCCTCGCTCTGCAGTGGGTCTTAACATGATCAGGATCAGATTAGTTCAGGATCAGGTGTTCATGCCTCCTTCAAGTTTGTCAAACAGCGTTCATAAAACACTTCAGTAAATTTGATTTATGGGTGGAGTTTACACCAGGAGGGATGGACTTTCAGATTTCCACAATGAGGAAATGAGTGTTGGTTCACAGAACTTTTACTTTCAACTTTAATTGATGAGCAGAAACTCGTTAATGTCCAATTAATCGATATGTAATCAGATTAACCTGAGAAAGTGAGACCTTATCTTCAGTTATCAGAGTATAAACAGCCCTGATGGTTAGCTGCTTCAACAATAGCAACATTAACATTAGCCAAATTAATATTAGCCCCATTAGCATTATCTGCATTAATATTAACCATATTAGCATTAGCCATATTAGCATTGGCTACACTAATCTTAGCCATAATAGTAGCCACATTAACGACTTATTCACAATTACATTAAATTGTATTGTTTTCTATAAACTGAGTTATTCGCTCTAGAACAGCTGCTATCTACCTGTTGTCTTATATTACATCATATTATATTATATTATTTTATATTATAGTTTTAAATGGGGTTTTGAAGGTATATATCTAGATGCTGCTGATGGACTGATTTATACGAGAGATGACCCACTGAGGTAAGAAGGTCTCATCAATAAAGAGGTGTTCAGTGAACGCTGTGTGACGCCCTCCAGTCGTTACGTCATCTTACATGTCAGAGAGAACGACGGTTCGAGAGCCGCTGGACGGACAAACCACACAACACGCACAGGGGGTTTGTCCTTTGCCCTGCCAAACCACTGCTGAGACATCGATCTTACACCGCAAGAAGTCAGCCATGATGAAACTGACAGAGAGAGAGACAGGAAACTGCTTCATGCAACTATGTCCTACAAAATAAAACCACAGACTGAAAACTGTGTTCTCATTGGAGGAACAGGAGGGTCGGAGCTGATCCATGATGAGAACGTTCCTGAAACAGAGAGAGTTAGTGACACACACACCTGTTCACACCTGTTCATATGCAGGATGGTGCGGCTTCCTGTGCTGATGTTGCTGATGACCACAGAGGCTGGAAGGACACACTGAACGTGCTCAGACACCAGAGACACATCGATGTGGAACTTCTGAAAATCTTCCAAAATAAAACTACAGACAGGAAACTGTTTCACTTCTCCTGCGACCTACAAAATAAAACTACAGATGTATCTCTGTTTAAACTTGACCCTTTAACCAGGTTCCTCCTCACTGAGGACATCTCAAATCTCTACATGCTGCTCAGAGGAAAGAGGAGACAAGGAGAGAGGGCACAAGGGAACATTTGAGGGTTTAAAAATAAATAATAAAAAAGGGTAATTTTTGTATAATTTTTCTTAATTTAAAGTATCACAGTTTTCAAAGTAAAGTACTTTTACTCAAGTATAATATTGGAGTACTTTTGAAGAAAGTATTGATGAACCTCATGGAGGCCACTGAAGAAGAAGGTATTGATTAACACATAGATGAATATTGATGAGTACTCACTCGGCTACTGGTCCAGCAGACAGTGAGCCCATGAAGGCGCAGGAGGCCCCGAGCAGGGACAGCACTGTGCAGGAGTTTGAAGCGTTTCCTCCTCGCTGCCAACGCTGCGCCAAACATCTGCAGGGACGCAGAGTGATGACATCACTGCATTGCCCATCAATATCAATGCTTGAGTCAACTTTTCAGGCTGCGTATACATATAAAATTTCTTCTCTGGCAGGTTTATTATGGTAAATGGTAAATGGACCTGTACTTGTATAGCGCCTTTCTAGTCTTCCGACCACTCAAAGCGTTTTTACACCACGTGCCACATTCACCCTTTCACACACATTCACTCAGTGATGGTAAAGTCCATCAAACAGAAACTAACTCATTCATACACATTCACTCACACCGATGCACAGCATCAGGAGCAATTTAGGGTTCAGTATCTTGCTCAAGGATACTTCGACATGTGGCAGCAGCCGGGGATTGAACCGACAACCTTCTGATTAGTGGACGACCTGCTCTGCCTCTGAGCCACAGCCGCCCATTTTATTTAGTATATTATGTTTTCTTTGGAGAATATTAGCTTTAGGACTGCCCCCCTAAGTTTTAATGCAGAAACACAAAAAAGCTAGTTCAGGAGCTGTGCCTTGTCACTGTGTCACATTTTATATTCTTCATTTATCAGAAATTGTAATCAAAATGCGTATATAATGTGATTTTGTTGGTTTGTTCTGTACACCCAACATCTGTTTCCTGTGTCCGTCTTGGGAGAGGGATCCCTCCTCTGGCTCTACCTAACGTTTCAATTGTTTCTTGGTAAAAGAGTTTTTACCTGAATCGAGGCTCTAAGGACAAAGGGTGTTGAATGTTAAACAGGCTCTAAAGAACCCTGAGGCAAAAGGTAATTTGTAAGATTCAGCTGTATAAATACAATTTTAATTGACTTGCCTTGGCACTGACAAGTGATTGTGATGTCTTTCAAGCATGTGATACATAATACATTAAGATATTGCTCCTAATCCTGACCCTGGTGATGAACCTGAAAAGGTTGCTTGAGGCTCTTCTACTTCTGAGAGTGTAGAATGGCTTACACTGAACCCAGTTGTGAACCCAAGTGTCTGGCGATTTGGGTAAACACATCATAGGAGTTTATGAAGAGTCCCTGAAGGCAGCATGTAATGCTCCTGGGACCACAATTTGGGTTGTGAAACAATACAAATAAAAATAGTGTTTATTATAGCTTTTGTATGTCCCCCAACACTGTTCTAGACCCGCAGTTCCACAATCATACATACTGTACCATATAAACTTCAGCTACTACAACAACACATTCATTAGCTTTCATTTAACAGTTTAACATACACATACATATATACTGCACTACCTGTTTAAAAATCATAAATGTCAAAAGGGTCAGTCTGGAACTATTGTCTGATAACAGATTGCTCATTGATAGTTTGGAGGATTACTAACCTGCTATCCAACAACAAACTGTGATATTACATAGATCTTCTGCTAAATGGACACTAAACCTACTTCCACTCTTACATAAAAACAGCCAGGAAACAGTTAAACGGTCCATGTGCTTTTGTCCTCTTAGCTTTAGCCTGTGTGCTAACATGCTGTAGGTGTTAGCTTTAGCCTGTGTGCTAACATGCTGTAGGTGTTAGCTTTAGCCTGTGTGCTAACCTGCTGTCAGTGTCTTCTTCTGGGTATTTGTCAACCACGTTGATGATGTCAAGACACACCAATCCCACACACAGAATCTTCTTCTGTTCCTCCATGTTGATCCAGGACTGACACACACACAGCTGCAGTCTGGACTTTGAAACATAAACGTCTCATTATCTCCCAAGTCAATTCACAACAATAAGATATAGCCCTTCCTGTCTGCAGGGATTATAAAATAAGAGCGTTGCAGACAGAGGCTGCTCATTACTTACTTACTTATAAAGAGTTCGGTCTAGACCTGCTCTATTTGAAAAGTGTCCTGAGATAACTTGTGTTATGAATTGGCGTTGTACAAATAAAATTGAATTGAATTGAATTACTGCCCTGTGAGTTAACACAATATACTACTTCCTGTCCTCGTGTTATGCCTGTACTCTCTCTGAAATCTGAGCTTTTATCAAGTTTAGTCCTTAAAACAGATAAAGTTATTATTGTAGGTGATACACTTTAATATTCATGTGGATGTTTAAAATGACAGCCTTAGTAATGCGTTTATCTCATTAGAGTTAGAGGTTAGGGTTAGGTTAGGAGAGATATATTTTAAATAGCCTATAGAGGGCCCAGTGCACTGGCAACAGGGGTCTTCCTAATGTTAGTACTCCTCACACTCCAAATTATATTAAAATCAATAATTGGTGCAAGTATACTAATCAATAGGGTGCTGTATTAAAAGACAGAAGTAATTGACAGTGATCTCTGCAGGGTACCAGTTGGAGTGCCATACTGCCCCCAGAGGGTGGAGGACCAAATAAGTGCTACAAGGCATGTCTATGTACAGTATGAAAAGGTTTATACATTTATAAATATTGTGCAGGTGGGTGTGGTTTACAGTCAGCTGCAGGAGAGAGACAGGTGTGGGGAAGGCTTGTGAGAGCAGCGCCAGGTGAGTTGATTATCTCAGTTGGTACTCATTGAGTAATCACACTCACCTCTCTTAATGCAGTAGTGTGCTGGACCTGGAAGGCCCGACACCTAACAGAAAGGACAACTGGAACAAACCTGAATGTACTTTTGAAGCGGGCTAAGTGTTGTGGTAATAGTGTGTGCGGCTGACAAATAAATAAAGTGGTCTTGATTATTTACCTGTGTTGTGGGATTGTGTGCTGAAAGAGCCCATGGTAGTAGCGATACTTGCTATATATATATATATATATATATATATACACACCCCACACACACACACACACACACACACACACACACACACACACACTGCGATGGGGGGGTAGTTTCATGTAATTATAGACATGCACAATAAATATATTCATATACAAGAGGAGCGGGTTAGGGTTGGGGTAGGGTTAGGTTCGAAATGAGTGCGGTTAGAAGCCCAACTAAGGTTCTGGTGCACTGGCCTGGGGGCGTGCGGTCCGTCGTGCAGACGGAAATACTTTAAGTTATATTTTAAATTAAATTAATTTGAAAAAGGAAATGAATAGAAATGAAATTAGTGAAAACACAGGAGGCAAACATCAACGAAATAAATTGTGGTAAAATTATAACGTGATGCAAACCGTGTTAAATCCAAATTATGTTAACACTGTCACAGGTGCAGCTCAGGAAATATGCATATGGGAATGAGAGTCAAAACACATAAAGTTGGTTATTGCAAGTTATTAGTGTAAGAAAGTCATACATGCATATGGGACAGATTATGAAAAGAGCAAACACAGACAAGAAATGGAGATTGTGACATTCATAATTTTTTATTGTATTATTTAAATAAACAAAAAGTTGAATTGTTGGGTTGTGTCACTCTGAATTATTTCTGGTCTGATGTTCTGGTCCGGAGATGGTAATAACGGGCCGAGTTCCCCTCACTATCTGTCCTGCATACAGGTTCAGGTGAGCCATGAGGTGAGGAGATTGGTTATTAAAATAAGTAGGGGTTATGATGATACAACACATCAAGCTCGGCCTTCCCAGTGTGATTTGAGTTAAGTGTAAAATTTAAGGTTATACTGATGTATGGTGCCGATAGGAGTTATTTGTAAAGTTATAATGACATGTTGATGAACTATGATGTAATGTGTTGTAAATTATCTTATGTATGATGTACTGTGATTAAACTATGTGTCATGTAGGTCGGTGATGATGTTGTCTAACTCCTCTAGCCAGTGGGAGAAGATCCCACTGGCTGTCTCTGTGGTCCACTGTATGTTATCTGCTTGTGTTATAAAAAACTGGTCCGGGAATACTGAAAAATGTGTGTAATGTTTGATTATGTAATCGTTAATTATTGCCAAGTTATGTTGTTCTTCTGCTGGTAAGAGTGGTGAGTGATTAATGATAGGAATGATTATTAAGGCGTTAGGGAAGGCCGAGCGAGCTTTATTAGCTACAGTTCTGAGTTGCTTGATGGAAGTGCTATAGGGGTCCTGAGCCCTGTTGTTTAGGCCCACCGAGAGGATCAGCACTTTTGTGTTGTTGGTTTTTGTTTTTTCCATGATTTTCCAGAAGTGGTAGAAGGAGGCTCCTGGGTAGCTGTCAGCCTGGACAAAAGGGTGGTTAAATTTGGGGATTCACTCCATTAACTTTCACTGTTATGCAGATGATACGCAGTTATATCTATCAATCAAATCCAATGAAATTAATCAATTATCTAAATTACAAACATGTCTTACGGACATAAAATCCTGGATGACCTGCAATTTTCTGATGTTAAACTCAGAAAAAAACGAAATTCTTGTTCTTGGCCCCAAAAACCTTTCATTGTCTCATTGTCTAAAGATATAGTCACTCTAGATGGCATTAACTTGGCCTCTAGCACCACTGTCAGGAATCTTGGAGTTATCTTTGATCAGGATTTGTCATTTAACTCCCACATAAAGCAGACCTCTAGGACCGCCTTCATTCATTTACGTAATATTAGAAAAATTAGACACATCCTATCACAGACAGATGCAGAAAAACTAATCCATGCATTTGTTACTTCAAGGCTGGATTACTGCAACTCTTTATTATCAGGTTGCCCCAATAAGTCCATTAAAACGCTCCAATTAATTCAGAACGCTGCAGCACGAGTACTGACAGGAACTAGAAAAAGAGATCACATCTCTCCTGTACTAGCTTCTCTGCATTGGCTCCCTGTAAAATGTAGAATTGAATTTAAAATCCTCCTCCTCACCTATAAAGCTCTTCATGGTCAGGCCCCTTCATATCTTAAAGAGCTCATAGTACCCTATTACCCCTCTAGAACACCACACTAGTTCTCTGAATGCTGGGCTATTTGTGGTTCCTATAGTCTCTAAAAGTAGAACAGGAGCCAGAGCCTTCAGTTACCAAGCTCCTCTCCTGTGGAACCAGCTTCCAGTTGTGGTTCGGGAGGCAGACACCCTCACCACGTTCAAGAGTAGGCTTAAGACATTCCTCTTTGATAAAGCTTATAGTTAGGGCTGGATCAGGTGAGTCCTGAACCATCCCTTAGTTATGCTGCTATAGGCCTAGACTATCGGGGGATTTCCCATGGTGCACTTAGCTCCTCCCTTCCTCTCTCTTTCTGCACTCATTCATGTCCCATTAATGCATGTTACTAACTCCACTTCTTCCCCGGAGTTCTTGTGCTTTCTCGTCTCGCAGGTTCTCATGGATCCTGGTGGAGCCTCCTGCCATGGTCCTGCTTGACTGCCATTGCCAATACTGTTGTTCTCTCTCTCTGCCTCTCTCTCTCTCTCGCTCTCTCTCTCTCTGCCTCTCTCTCTCTCTCTCTCTCTCTCTCTCTCTCTCTCTCTCTCTCTCTCTCTCTCTCTCACCCCAACTGGTCGAGACAGACGACCACCCACCTAGAGCCGGAGGATCTGTCCTAGGTTTCTGCCTTTTAACAGGCAGTTTTTCCTTGCCCTTGTCGCCAAGTGCTTGCTCATGGTGGTACTGTTGGGTCTCTGTAATTAATGTTAGAGTTCAGTCTAGACCTGCTCTATTTGAAAAGTGTCCTGAGATAACTTCTGTTATGAATGGGCGCTATACAAATAAAATTGAATTGAATTGAATTGTGGATATTTGAATCCCCCAGTATGGCGATTGGTTTGTTAATTTTGAACTCCCAATCTCGCAGCTTGCGGTTATCTCTGGCCTGATGGTAGGTGGGGTCAGAGGTTGTGTCTGTGCACGCACCCGCGCCCCAGGGGGGAGAGCCCCTCGGCTCGGCGCATCTCCCCGGCAGGTGTGGTTTAAGAATAGGTGAGGAAAGATCAGAGTTGGAAAGCTGGTCTGTCATGTTGACTTTTTGACCTAGGTTACTCATCATTAAATTTTTCCTCTCAGATTCTGTGTTGAACCGGGGAGCTGCCTCCGCCGCAGCGGGTGCCCTCTCCCCACTCTGATGTTCTATGGGCGCGGGCACCAAGAGATGGAAAGCGCCGTTTATGGCTGACCCCAGGCCAGAGTCTGCATGAAGGCAGGTGGATGTTATTATGCCGCTGCGGGACTGGGAGCCCTGTATGTCGTTATTGTTTTTTGGAGAGATTATGTTTGTTTCTCCAGGCTGACAGCAGTCCTCAGGAGCCATAGCATTCACCGTCCTCTGGGGGCAGCGCATGTGGGGGGAAGTGGGAGGTGAGTGGTGATCTGTGGCTGGGATGTTGTCCAAAGGCTGTGGAGGAAAATGGTTATGCTGGGGAAGAGAGGGGTCAGAGTTGGACAGGTGAGGAGAGAGAAAAGAAAAATCCTCATCTGAATCACTGCAGTGAGAGGGGGAGGAGGTGCTGGAAAAAGTTCTGGAGGTGAAGAGCAGTTCGTGTGCAAAAGTGAATGTATGTGGACTGATTTTATTACCAAAGCGTCTGTGTGCCCATTGTGTGGCTACTGTGAACGCTAATTAGTTACCGGGGGTGTTTGTGAGCTGTGTTATTGTATTTTTGTAATGTGCTAATAAAATGTGCATGTTTTGCCACATCCAGGTGAGAGTGTTTTCTTTAAATGTATTTGTTGTGTCTTGTGAAGGAGAAGATGGTTTAATAAAGCCGGCCAGTTGGAGTGTTTTGCGTAACATTCCTGTTGGAATTTCGCCCTCCTCAATGGCCTGCTCTATGTTGCTATGGTGATGTAGTGCTTGTATAAGTTTCAAATGATGTTTGGCTGTAAATCGGGTGGATGTATCTAGTGCCTGTTTAATTGGTGTGTGTGTGTTCGTATGTGCGGTGTTGTGTGTTCTGTGTGTGCTGCTGTCTCCGCTTTCCAGTCCGTTCTGTGTGGGAAGAAAAAGAAAAAGAGAGAGAAGGAGGGGTCCTGTGAGTTGCAGCCGCAGGTCCGCCTGCTCCCCCCCGGTCCCGCTCGTGTCGGGGTTCGCTGCCCTCCGCCCTGTAAGCACCCGTGT